GGGGGGGGGGGGGGGGGGGGGAGGTGTGCGCTGAGCATGGGCCCGGCACCACGTGGCTCCGTCACCACCATCACGGCCTCCCCTGGAGCAGCGGGGCCCAGGGTCCAGTGAGCTCCCAGCCCTGCATTCGAGGCCTGATAGCTCCCCAGCTCCCAGTGGGAACTTGCCTGGGCCTCAGGCTTCTCATCCACAAAATGGGTAGATCCCACCTGCCTGGGGAGGCTGTGAAGAAGGTAGACCGAGGCCCCGCCCCAGCGTCCGGTGCGCAGCACACACGCGGCAAGCACCGGTCCTCCCAGCATCCTCTGAGGGGTCTTCCTGCTCTGACAACCATCGGGGTGCCCGACACGATGGGAAGCTGGGGCACCCCGGACCCTCCCGTGTGGCCTGGTGTGATGCTCTCAGGACGCACCCAACAGGCAATGAAGCAGGAGAGCCTGAGATCTGCGGGTGCAGGGGCCTGGCTGCCCCGCTCCTCTGTGCCAGGGGTGTCATCGCTGGCAGGGGTGCCCAGTAAACGCTGGCCACAGCAACCACAGTGACCACGGCCCCCCAGGCCCCTCAGATTCCATGGCCTGGAGACAGGCTGCACGCACCGACCACAAGGGTGGGCTGCACCAAGCGGCCGGGAGGGACAGGTGTCCACTCTCTGAGCCCCGAGGTGAAGCCAGGGCAGGAAGTTCTGGCCCCCACGGCGGATGACAGGTCATGCCAGGCACCAGGGAATGTTTCCGAGGGTATTTTTATCTTGAGAACATCCTTCCCTGGGGGGTAGGGGCAGGAGAGAGACAGGGTGTCCTTGGCCCCAGGCCCCTGGAAGCAGCAGAGGACATAGACCCCTGGTGCCCTTTGCCAGAGTGGCCATTACAGACACTGCCCCATCCCTGGGCTTCCTTGGGTCCCAGGAGCAAGTGGGACCTGGAGGGTCTTGGGGTTTTCTTGGGGCTCCCAGCTCTGCTCAAACACACTGTGCGACCTAGGCTAGGCCCCTGTCCCTCTCTGGGCCTCCCTCTGGCAGGCAAACTTTCCTGAGGGCACCAGGGACTTGGCGATGGACCAGGAGTGCCCGCCTGCCAGGGGCGTCCCCGCCGGGCAGGAAGACAACGAGTTAAGCAGCACACACAACAGGCAGGATCGGGGCCGCAGTCAGAGCCCTCGGAGCCCAGGGGAGGTGTCTGACCCAGTCGCGGGCAGGGCCTCCCCGGAGACAGCCCGGCTGAGACCGACCACAGCACAGCACAGGGCACTCAGGGTCCCCCAGGTCAGGGTGCACATCGGCTCTGCTCTTCAGACACTGGGCCTCGGGCAAGTCCCGCCCAACTCGGAGCCTCCCTGTTCCTATCTGCAAACGAGGGGGCTGGCCCTTCCGGTCCCAGCATTCAGGATCCTAAGGATTTGGGGCTGAGTCCGGTATAGAGAGAGAGGCAGGGGCACCCCTTGTCACCCTAATAACAGTGAGGGCGGAGGTGTGCTGAGTGCCTGTGTGCACAGGCATTGCACTGATGCCTGCAGAAACGGAGGCTCGGAGAGGCCCTGTGAGTCATTTTAATGAGCACGGACTTGACCCCAAGGGCACTGGGGTGCCAGAGAGAGTATAAATTCTGAGGCAATACGGCTTGCGTTCAAATCTTGTCTCTGTCCCTTCCTGGGTGACCCTAGGCAAGACATATAACCCCTCTGAGCCCAGTTTTCTCACCTGTGAGATGGGATTAATAATGTTATCTGTCGATGGGCTCATGATGGGGTTTCATCAAGTTAGTACAAGGAGCTGGAAATTTCCTGGTCCCCCACGCCCTCCCCTCATCACATCTCTGAGCCCCTGACTCACTCTGAAGAGGGGCCACAGGTCCCTGGAGGGCCTGGACTAGACCTTAACCTCCAAGCAGGAAGGAGAGACCAGATGGACAGGATGGGAGGGACCCAGTGCACAAAGGCACCATGGTGTCTATTTTTCTTACGGCTGTAATTTTTCAAGCTTCAACTTAATTCAAGCCTCAGACATTTTCTAAGTGTGCAGAGGAGAGCATGGACCTGAGATAGTGACGAGAAACAGCCTGGGACAAGAAAGACCACGAAAGAAAAGGCTGGAAAATTTGCCAACATAAAAATATTTATGATAGTGCTTATCAAAACCCACTATAAGCTAAGTAAAAGGTAAATGATAACATGCTTGTTATGAGAAGGATTGATGTACTTAATATATAAAGGGTTCTTACAAATCAACAAGAGAAAAGCACACAGTAGGAATGATCGTGCGATCCTGCGATCCCCAGTGGGTGACGTCTCAGGAATGTCCACACCTCGAGCCTCAGCCTGAGCTGGCCCCCCACCATGGAAAGCCCCTCTCTGCCTTTCATCTTTCAAGCTTCAAGGATGCCTCCTCCAAGAAGCCTTCCAAGGTTTCCCCGGAGCTGCTGCTGCTCCTTGCCAGGTCCCCACAACATCTTTCTTGGACCCCTGGAACCAAATGCCTAGCTTCTGTGAGTGCCTGGCATTGCACCCGAGAATGTTCCAGGTGAGATGGCCCAAGCGTCTCTGACCAAGGAGGAAGTAAGTCACGGAAAAGAGCACTGGGTCCACAGTCACCAGGCTATGAGCCACGGCTCCAAGCCCAGCACCCAGGGGGTCCGGCCTCTGTCCCTCTGCATCCAGCCGCCTCCTTCCTAAGGAGCCCTCCCAGCCAGGGGCTGCCTAGCTTCACAGCAGGCTGGGCCCAGCACGAGGCCTGCCAGGCAAAGGCCAGGCAGAACACGGCCTGACCCCCGGCCGCTTGCTGGGGGAGCACAGGGACAGTTGTTTTCTCAGCTTCCCTCCTCTTCCCCTCTTCACTGTGTAAATCTG